GCATGGAAATACATGGCAATCACGCTGGCGTCAGGCGCCCACACAAAGCTCAAAGAAATCACGGCCGAGAACCCCGTTCAGGCTTAAACTTGCTTCGAATGGCTATGGCGTCTATGCTCCCTCACTTCACCCTCTATATGCGGGTAACAGTTTCTGTGAGATGTTCTCCTCAGGAGCAAATTCTTTGGACTTGACCCAGACGAGGTCGCCTACTTAGAACTGCGACGGGCGAGGAGAGCAAATCAGGGTAGGCGCGTTCAATGCTGACACGTACGTAAAATTCATAGAGAAGAAACTCCTACCTGCCTTGGACCAATCCAAGGCGATCATCATGGACAATGTTCCATTTCATCGTAGTGGGGATGTGAAGAGGGCGATAGAGGAAGATGGGCACACTTGTCTTTACCTTCCTCCAAACTCCCCTTTCCTGAATCCAGCAGAATGGGTCTTTGGCAATGTCAAGAACCCTGTTTGTCGTGAGGAACTTGGGGGACAGGGGAATCTGATTGATGCAATCAACCGGGGTCTTTTGCGGATCACTGCCGAGATGTGCCAAGGATGGATTAGAGAGGTGACACGGAACTTCGGCAAAGCTAATCAAGGCCAAGTTCTAGGTCAACAGTTTACGGGAGCAGCAGGCCCCTGATTCAGACGCATGTGACCAACCTGCAAAATCGCTTCACTAAATTGATGTCTTTGTTGGTCCCGATGGTGTGCGCAGAATCTCAAATCAGTTGACTGTTGAACTAAATGTGGTTTTCGCAATACTAATTTGTTAAATCAATCTGCCTAACTCTGTCATGCGTCCAAACTGTTAAATCATTCTGTCCAAAAAAAATGGTCATCATTTATCCCAACCTATATCCAGTGAGTATGTCCAAAATGCTCATCGTTTCTCCCAACCTAAATCTGATATGTCCAAAATGCTCATCACTTATCCCAACCTATAATGGCTGCTCAAATCGCTTCCGATAATGTACTAAATAAGAAAATCGAACTGACCAATTCGGTTTGATCATTGTCCAATTGAATTTTCGTTTGTCCAAATCGCTTCACCTTGATCCTAACTTACCTGGTCAAAGGAGTAATTCACACCCGCACGCATGTCCCCGCAACTTGGCTACAGTAGTCATCGCAACGGCCGGACATAAATTCTCTTACATTTATGCTTACATTTATCCTTATGCCGACATTTGTGATTACATTATCCTGTCGTTATTTATAACACCACCAACCGCACGTTTCAGAAATTTGCTTAGGGCCTCGCTCCAATACTCACCACATGCACAAAAGCCAAAAAATATGTGGCGTTGAATCTTCCCATGTTCACGCGGGAGATTCATTCTCTCTTTTGCACATTTGGTGAGTAGAGCGAAGCCCTCAGCCATCGAAACGGCCCACCCAACTTGAGCAGAGACACAGGAATAAATTGCTATATGCTTTCCAAAAACCAAAAAAAAGAGACGGGGGAATTACGGTTTCAGGCCAGGCCCCAGGGCGGGCTGAGCTGACTACGGACAAGTGTCGCCGTCTAACTGCAGACGCTGACTACAGAGACGCCACCTCCTTTCTTTTTCTTCTTTTTTCTTTGGGCAAGGGATTGGCAACCTCGGTAACGGATCGGGATCCAGACCTATATAAATAGTCCAGCCCCCACTTCTCCCCTCTTCCTCCCTGGGCCCCTCACCTTCCCCCCTTGAAAAAAAAAAAAAAAAACACAAACTATTTTCCCCTTACGAGATGGGGTGCTTAGTCAGACATTGTGCTGAATATTATCTCCTTTTCTCTAAACCACCAGTTTGGAAGTCCCACCTCTTCTTCTCGCTCGAGAAGCATGAGTAAGGGCACAGGATCTAGGTGGCCCAGTAATCAGCCAAACTCCAGACAGAAAAAAATTAGCTCAACAATAGATATAAATTTATGAGCTCGCCACACTACTCACGAGACGGGATGTACTTTGTCACCTCCTGTGCGAAGATGCGATCGCCATTTTCGCCCTTTCACACGACAACCATCTTCCACCGAAAGGAACGCACCTTATTTGTGAATGAAATTCAATGAATAGAAGCGATCTTCCCGGTCCGGTGCAGTCGTGATGGGGGTTCGTTATGTTCGGGGGAAAGCCGTAGCCGTAGTCTGGGCGACGCCATACGTCATCGTCAGCGTGACACTCACCAACATAAATTCTTCTCACTAACATTCATTAACTCCTTACATTTATTTTGCTCATCTGCTCGAAGTGGAGGTCTGCATTTCAACAGTTCAGTGGCGTACCAACTGAACTAGCCCAGCTGGTACTCCTTACATTTATCAAATCCTTAACTTCAATAAAATAAAAGTTGGAAAAACAGTCGTTACATGTATCCTCATTAGCATTAGGTGAATTCTCTGTCTCAGAGGAGAGACTGCCGAAACGTAGCAGCCATAATCCATCAACTTAATTGATATTTGCTATTATTTGGTTATTATTTTAGACGCAAAGTCACGCTGGAGAAAGGATTGAAAAAAAATATAAAGAAAATGCGCCGGACTGCAAAGACAGTCCATGTGGGAAAAGAATTTCGCCCAATCAACAATAGTTCACAGAGAATAAAAACCGAGCAATTCGGGAGATCAGCCCTCCACAGAGCCCGACGGAATGAGTATGGATAGGAATACGGCTAAGAACATGCATAGGAATAAAAAGTAATAATAATAATAAAATGCATGAGTAAGCGGAAGTGCAAAAGTGACAAGCGCAAAGGATGACCGCGCACGAATCGAGAAACGGTCCAATTTTTTCTGCAAGAAAACAAAGTACGCGCAGAGAGGGGAGCAAAGAGCACCAAGAGGCGAAACCCACGACGAGGAGGAGAAGGAACGAGGGAAGAGTGTCTCAATCTTGTACAGCAAACTGAAATATACTAAGTAAATGATATAGTGTACATAGTCAGACTAGCACTCGATGGGATGCATCTGACCGCAACTAAAGCTAGATTCTCGCGAAAACGATAAGGCACGCGAGTGAACTAAGAGCACCTCTGTTAACCAGAAGGAGGAGGAGGGAAAGACAAACAAAAAGCAAGCAACGATAGCACCCTGTATCCTGTCCAGGAACCTAGACATCAGGAGACCGCTAAGGCCCGGATCCCTCCTCACCATAATCTGAACACCAACGGCCGCGAAACCAAACGAAGGGAGTCTCGGGCTGAGGTACATAGTCACGACGCAAATCCAGATGATGCACATGCAAGATCTCTCTCTCTCTCTCTCTCTCTCTCTCTCTCTCTCTCTCTCTCTCTCTCTCTCTCTCTCTCTCTCTCTCTCTCTCTCTCTCTCTCTCTCTCTCTCTCTCTCTCTCTCTCTCTCTCTCTCTCACACACACACACACACACACACACACACACACACACACACACGAAGGCATGTATAATACATGTTGTGATGTTGGAACCCCTCTCTCTCTCTCTCTCACACACACACACACACACACACACACACACACACACACACATACACACACGAACGCATGTATAATACATGTTGTGATGTTGGAACCCCTCTCTCTCTCTCTCTCTTGCGCGCGCCCGCGGGTGAGTCTGGACAATCGATTCTGATATTTGCAGAAAAGCCATTGATAAGGCGAGTGAGATAGCGCAAGTGAACGAGACACAGACTCGCACAATGTGGCGGCAAGTCCCGAATTAACGGAAAAGCGGCTTTTTGAACGACAAGAAAATGAGACAGCTCGCAGACCATAACCGCAATGAGTGCCATCCTCCTGACACGACACTGCAGATCGCACAGAGAACAAACAAATGCACAACTTACGAATGCAGCAAAATCGGGCAACCTGCCTGCCTGCTTCGCCCGTGGTCACACAAGCATCATCGACGCACAACTGCTGCTAACTAGACACAGCGAGCTGCTCGCCATCTCGATTGGGTTTCCAAGCCCGACAACGACCAAACTCCCTGGCTGAGACAACCCGACAACGACCAAACTCCTTAGCTGAGACAACCGACGTAGAAAACCACTGGAGGGGCATGCAGGCAAAGAAGAGGAGCTCCACAAAAGAAGAAGACCTGGGGAGTGGAGACAGCGAAGAAGAGAGACATGAGCATCGTCGCCAACTCGATCGCGTCACGGCCTTCGAGCAGACGAGAGAGAAAGTTCAGGGAAAATAGAGAAATTGATGCAAAAAAAAAAAACAAAGGACCCGGAGAGGCTGGGACGAGAAGAAGAGAAAACATTCAAGACCACTGCGCACGCGATCTAAGAATGAGCGGAGCGACAGAAAAGACCGCAGGGTGTACAGGAAGACAGCGCACTGGAGGAACATCTGAGGAGAAGGGAGAGGTGATTAATCGACAACTAGCCCGTTCATTAGTTAGTTAAGATGATTAAGAACTACCAGGAGAGAGAGGAGAGAGGAGAACCAAAAGTGAAAATGGCACGACAAGAGAGAATAGAACGAGTCGTCCGAGACAAGGGCGAACGCGAGAGGAGGAGCGGAAGGAGAAGGAAAGCATGACGAACAAAGGGAGCATTCGCAACGTAGAGGGGGGGCAAGAAAGTGGAGAGAGATAAGACGATAGGAGGATGAGCCGAGAGAAGAGAAAAGGGGAGAGAGAAGAGGAGAAACGGGGCGAGAGGATTGATGAAGACGCAGAGGAGGACGAAGAGGAAGAAGGGGAGAGAGGAAGAGTAGGGGGGAAAATCGGCAGGATAGAGCAGGTGAGGAGGCGGGGAAGAAGAAAAATGAAGAGCAAGAAGAGGAGATGGAGGAGAGGAGGAGAGCGAAAAAGAGGGAAGATTAGGACGAATTGGTTAATAAGAGCAGGCGGATACGAAGATGGGGCACAAGGGTGAAAGGGGTGTAATGGTCGGCGACAAACAGAGTGAAAGGGGAGGAATGGTACGAGGAGGAGGAGGACGTGATGATGGAGAAAGAGAGGAGCGAGAAGAGCACAGAGAGAGAGAGAAAGGAGTTCCTGGGTGGTTGATTGATCACCACCTACCCTGCCATGCAGCTTTCTACCAGCGGCTTAACGCAAGCCACGTAGACAGTTTCTTGAGTGTTGTCAGGGCCGAAGACGTGGTCGAAGGTGAATCGTCTATCTTTACCAATCAAAACCTGGTTCTCAGTGGGAAAGAAAGTAACACACTCCTTACATTTCTCCATGATCTCCTTGGCAATCAACGGCCGGGCGCGTACAGCTACGCGGACTGCGGACGAGTCGTCAACAGCCGATGAAGCCATCATTACCGCCGACCCCGACGACGTGTGAGCACAACCTTCTGCCGGCGCAGAATTGGGAGAAGGGGGAAAAAACATCATATCTACTAAATTTATTGCCTCCTCCTCCCTACTCCCACCTCCCTCCTCCCTCCTCCCTCCTCCCTCCTCCCTCCTCCTGTCTCTTATACACATCTAGATGTGTATAAGAGACAGCTCTCTCTCTCTCTCTCTCTCTCTCTCTCTCTCTCTCTCTCTCTCTCTCTCTCTCTCTCTCTCTCTCTTCCTTAATGCCAGTACCGCAGTCTCATGCGCGGCATGATTTCATGAATTGATAGAGAGGATGAGATAGAGGTAGATGTCGATCATGGCGACGACTATGATTACATGAGATCGTATAGAATCGTCCTTCGAGGCAGATTTGAAATAAGGACGGCCAGTCTACCACCCCCCACATGGACACTAAAGCATTTCAAATCTCACACGGCCTAACGATGGCATACAACGGCGCTGCACTCGTTCCTTGGCTTACCACCTAAGATCCACAACTGCGTTCTACGGGCGCGCTGCTCCCAAAGCTACAGCAGGGCGCTCGCAGTCTCTCCCCGCCCGGGCCAGTACAACCGCACCTTTTGCCCCCCACACTTCCCTTCATCCGTCGCACATTCATTCCCCTTGTTTCCGTCGCACATTCATTCCCCTCGTTTCCGTCGCACATTCAGTCCCCTCGTTTCCGTCGCACATTCATTCCCCTTGTTTCCGTCGCACATTCGTTCCCCTTGTTTCCGTCATACATTCGTTCCCCTTGTTTCCGTCGCACATTCGTTCCCCTTCTTTCCCGCCTGAGTTCAGACAAGCAAGCATGATGGCTTAACAATGTAAGCGTGCGCAAATAAGAGAACGCATACACCCAGAGTGGGGTGCCCACCGACAAACGCCCACGTCGTTATCGAAAGAATCCTTGCGCCATTCGAGAGAGTGACGAAATGGAAGAGGGAGAGGGAGAGGTAACAGCCACCGACAGTCTCCCTCCCTCCTCGACAGATGACTATCACACAGACACAGCGCTAGATAAAGGGTAATCAACGCTGTAGACGCAAGGAGGGAGAGAGAGACGAGACGGAGATGGAGAGAGAGGGAAGGATACGTGAACGACCGTCACTAACAAACTGATCAATTTATCATGAAAAGTGTAACACTAATTAACTATTGATTAATCATTGATACCTGAACCTAAGTGTGCGACGATGAACCCAACCCATAGCTCTCATATTGCAACGAGATCCGTTCCTATCCTCTCATGAAAAAGAACCGGCAATGACACCACTCGGCCCCAGCACCGACATTTCAGCCACGGGAGGACTCCGGACTGATTGAAGGCGCACAAACGCGAGAAGAGTAGAAGGAAGGACGAAGTCAGCGATCGCTCTGCTGTGCGTGTACGTCACGTAGAACTCTGCTGAAGGCAGACGGGCCGGCGGAGATGGAAGAACAACTACAAAGGCAGAGATGGCACACATTCACAGGAGCAGGACAACCGACACTCCTGCTTCAGAACAGAATTTCTCAATCACTTCCTTACGAGCCGATACGTGGTTAAATTTGCGTAAACACTTCGCAATGCCCGCCAAATGCTTGCACTCGACCTGCACAATGCCGCGCAGCTGCGCTATAGACAGTGGCCAAACAGTAAAGTAAAAGCCAGTCAGACAGATCTGTCGGAGCTCGCGGCACGACGAGGGGGCTTGCAGGGCTTGCAGATCGGGGCGGGGTAGGGCGGGGCGCAGCAGGGGCTATCACTTTTCACAACCACTGTAGGATTCTCTTTATAATTATGCTAAGCAAAGGTAGTTCAAACAGAAGTTTGTGTGGTATCAGACCATCACTCTCACAATAGTAGTGTGGTTTGTCCATCAGCATTGGAACAATACTCAAACTATCATCAAACTCCATCCATAGATTTTATACCCATACCTGCAATCACACAAAGTTCAAACAACAACATCACACACTCTAAGGGAGTCAACTTTATTGTGTTTTTGCGACACACACCCTGCCTTATGCATACAAGCCCCAACCAATTTTCACCAACCCTCAATAAAGGTACTCAGTCTTTTAAAAATGGCCACTTAAAAATAAATCTGGGTGAAAATCCCAGAAACATGGAAACCCACAAGAGCCAAGGCTTTAGGTTGAGATGCAGAAGCGGGGAAGTTGTGTCGTAAACCGATCTTTTGTAGGACCCAGCTGAATGAATCAAGCCTTCAATCGAATTCGTTGACTTGCACCATAGTTTAGGTAAAAGCGGACCACGTACTTCATTCAAGATAGATGGAGGGCCAACACCACTCCATAGCCTATCTCATTTACTAACGTTTACCTTACTTTCCTCAAAAGTCATCGAAAACTTTGGCATCGCTTTGTCAAAGTTTTCCCTAGTATAAAATAACATAACTCTTTAAATTTCACAAAAATGCGGCAGCGCTTCCCATAGAAAAAATATATTTTCAAAATTTTTTAATGTCAAAAAACAACGAACTCTTTCAGATTTGTAAAAATTTCGACAGCACTTCCCGTAGAAACAAGAGACTGGCAAGATTTTATGCAAAGTTGAAAATACAAAAATAAAATACAACTATACTTAGTACCAACTTCTGATACTCAATTGATAGTTAAAGTTCGTGATAGTTTACACGATCCTCTTTTGAAGATGGTATTCTGAGTTACCACCAGTCCTAGCTTCTAGTAAGGTCAATCTTATCATATCCCAAGTTACTTTTCTCATCATTCATTCTAGTTTATCTATGGTTCCAACACTCGGTGAGCATCTAAACAACTAAACCTACCAAGAGATGCCCCCAAATGAGAGTCCGCAAACATGAATAAACAAACATTTTTTTCAATCCTACATCAGTTTGATCCATGTAGTTCGTTAATCTTTTTTTTTTTTTTAACCCTTTATGATCTCATTTCATATGGCATACGATGAAACCGTCCAAACTTAGGGGTACGTCTGACTTGCCTAAGCAAGTGATTAGATTAGAGACTTACCTATCTCTCTCTCCCTTCGTCCTTTGTTGCCTTCATAGTTGTCGTCCTCGTAGTAGTCACCGTCGTCTTCGTCATAGAAGTCATCGTCATCGTCATCGTGGTCGTCACCATCATAGGTGGTCGTTTTTGCATGTCAGGTAAGTGTTATCTCCTTTCCTCCTCTTCTTTCCTTCTTCTCCTTCTTTTTCTCCTTCTTCTTCTCCTTTTTTTTATCCTACCACTGCTTCTCCCGCCACTCCTCCTTTCCACCTTCTGCATGCGTTCCACCCTTCTCCTTACCGCCGCGCGCTATCTCCTCTGCTCCCCGCGCTATTGATCGTCTGTGCCTTCTCCCCTTGTGCTCGCCTTCTTCCTTTCCTACTGGGTGGTGCCTCACTTCCCCACTTCGTCTGCGCGTGCGCCTTGGCCGCCTGCCAATGCACGCACCACTGCTAAGTCCGGGCTCGCTGTGTCGCTCTCCCTGTCCGTGTGCTATCATACCCCTCTGCTAACACGTGCTCGTTTTTCCCCTGCCCGGACGCTCCTCTCATACCACGCTCCAATGCGGTAATCCTCCACGTAGTCTTCAGAGGTTGGATACGGAGCGGGCCGTCAGGAAGTCCCAGGGAATGAATTTGCCCTAGATTTAGCAGTGGATTCGGCATACTTTTTCATACGAGAACGGAGGACAAAAAAAACAAAAAGAAACTAGAAAAATTGTAAGGAAAAAAAAGTAAAAAAAAAAAAATTTAATAAGACAAAAAAAACGAAAATCTAACTACTAACTACAATGTCGTGCCATCTGTCACGATGAATTCTAACTGTAACTAATCCTGATTTCGAGGTCATGGGCTCGAGCCTCGGTTGTCCGAAGAGCGGAAATGTAATATAGTCCATTATCTAAGAGGAGCTAGTCTCAGCGGCCGGCAGACCTCGATCCCCGTATCCCCCGCTTGTTAAACAGTACTGAAACCTATTGAGCTAACTCCCTCTTCGAGTAGAAGACTCTTCGAGTAGAAGCGGAGTAACTTAGGTATATATTGAAGTGGGGCTCAGTCCACCTAATGGCCTGAGACCGTTTCTAAGTCTGCGGGTGCGCACGCTTGCCGTCCTGCATACCTGTCTGAGTGCTCATCGGCTTGAGTGTGTGTGTGCCCCGCCTGGGTACTCAGTTGACCGGAAGGCCCAAAGGACCGGTACTTAGTTGTGGCCTCGACATTGAGGGTCGTTGCGGGAAAACACTTAAGTGGCGGGTAGGTTGGTATTACACCAAGCAGAGATAGATGTGTTGGGTACTCGAAGCCGAGCAGAAGAAAATATAAATTAGCATTTTTAGAGGCCCAGTACCTGTAGGTAGACAAGTACCAGCCAAAATCTCAGTGCGTGTTATAGCTGTACCCGACACAACACTAATTTAATCAACCGCTTCGACCTTTTCGGTCGGAGGGTATTACTACCGGTCATAACCATCACAACGCGTGTCATAACAATGTGCGCACATACGCTTGTAATTTTCTAAACGATTCGCCCCCGCCTCAATGGTCAAGGAAATCATTTCAAGTGTCACGCCAAAGCGTGCACACCCTTTCCATTCCAAACCGGGCTCGTCATGGTAGCCGACGCGGTCGTTGTCTCAAATGCAAAAGCATGGCCAAATACCCTTGTAAGGATATTTGGTCCGACAGCGGTCTGGTCGCATTGCCTTATGTGTCTTAAATTGTTTAGGCTAACTAGGCGTACCCCTAAGTTGGGGCGGTCTAGCGATATGCCTTTTGTCGTTCACGTTATGTAGGTTGGGCGTACCCTTAAGTTACAGCGGTCCGACCATTCGTCGTTTGTGTTTGTTTAGGCAGGTGAGACATACCCCTAAGTTGGGGCATTTTAATCTATGCCCTACGTAAACTTCATGTCGTCAGTTAAGCAGAAGCCAGACGTACCCCTAAGTTGGGGCGGTCTGGTTATATGTTTTATGTTCACAGTTTATGTTGGGTTGGGCATAACCCTAAGTTGGGGAAGTTTAGACATATGTTTTAGTCATGTAAGTTGGACTTACCCCTAAGTTGGGGCAGTCCAGTTGTGCCTATCCCGCCCAATCCACTCACCTATACTCCACCAATAGAATATACTAAATTTAGTGAATCTATCGCTATAACATAAAATTTTACACTACGTCGAGCCTACGTGTGTGCGTGTGTGTGTGTGTATGTGAGAACGTGTGTTAATGCATGCACGTCGATCGTCGCTGGTCATCTGGTACTTTCATTGCTGTGTGTACGTGCGAGGATGCATGTGTGTGTATGTATATGTATGTGTGTGTGTTCGTGCGTGAGTCTATGTGTGTA